GGCCGCACGCATGCCAGGCGAGCACGCTACCGCTTGAGCCACATCCCCAGCCCTTGTAAACTTTTTTTTATTACAAAAAAATTCTTTATATTTTACCTTTAAATTAAACTTCTGAGTTAAAAAAAACTTTTATTTTTATTTATGCTTGTTTAGTGTATTATTCTTTTGGTAAATGGGAAGCATTTTTTAAATGTTTTAGTATTTTACTTGAAGAAAATGGAAATACTGTTAAGTGTTTTAAGAAAAAAAAGTTTTCTTAAGACTGTTTTTTTTAAAGGAGCACTTTAGCAATTTGAAAAATTCATTTGGAGGGAATGTTAGTTTTCTATAACTGTGTAGGAAACTTAGCAACTTAATACCATATAGATTATTATTTTGGCAGTTTTCAAGAGTCATGACTCTCGGCTTAGATTAGTTAGGCACTAGGCTGAAATCAAGATGTCCATCAGGGCTGTGACCTCATCTGATGCTTGAGGCTCTCTTCCAAATTTAGACTGTTGACAGAATTTAGTTTCTTGTGATTATAGGACTAAGGTACTGATTTGTTGACTGTCAGGCAGGTGTTGTTACCAGCAACTAGAAGTTGCTGGCTGTTTCTTGCCATGTGGCTCTATCCTCAACATGGCAATTTGTTTCTTCATTGCCAGCAGGAGAATCTCTGATACAGGGTCCCAGTCCCTTTTTAAGACTGTTTTGTATGGGCTGTGGCTGTGGCTGTGGCTCAGCAGTAGAGCACTTGTCTCGAATGTGTGAGGCCCTGGGTTCAATCCTATGCACCACATAAATAAAATAAAAAGGTATTGTGTCCATCTACAACTAAAAAATATATATATATATATTTTTAAAAAAGATTGTTTTGTAAGCCAGGCCCACCTATTATTTTGGAATAACTAAAAAAATCAGCTGATTTGGGCCCTTAATTATATCTTTAAAATCCTTTCACCTTCATATTGTAACATAAATTAAATGTAGGTGAGAAATCCATTATATTTATAATTTATACTTAAGTAAGGGAAGATATTATACAGAACACGGACTCTAGGGAAAAGGAATTTTGGGGGCTATTTTAGGACTATTTAGGCTATTTTATCTATTTTAGATTCTGCAAGAGTTGATGTAGAACAGAGTTCAGAGGCTGTAGTAGTATGGAGAAAGATTTTTGCTCTGCAAGAAATGGTAAAATGCCAATAGAAACAATATGGTAAAATCAAGAGGACTTGGTTATGACTTGAATAATAGAGGCAGAAAGAAAAAGGAGATATAAGAAAATGAATTCCAAGTTTCAGGCTTGAATAACTAAGAATATTGGTATTCTTCAGTAAGATAGGAATCACTAAGTGAAATCTTGCTTTGGTGGGAAATACTATGTAGTATTTGTGCTTATTTAGGTTAAGTTATGATAGGTAGGACCACATTGAGAAAAAGGCGATAAAAATTGAGAGATATGGAATAAATAGATATTTATTAGCGGATCTGGGTTCTGTAWAGTGATGGTATTTTATAAAAATGATACTTATAAACAAGTGGGTAGGTTTTAGTTTTAATTTGAAAGTTTTTTAGGTAAAATGTGTTCATAAAATTTATTGTAATAACACATCCTTATATTCTGTGTTTTATGCTTATTTATTTAATCTTAAAATATTTTAGTTTTTATTGAGTTTGATCAGATTATCCTCATTTTTATTAGCTTCAATATTTATTGTATGTTTAAAGTATACAATATAAAGTTTTGATGTACATAGACATAGTGAAGTTGTTACTACAGTCAGGCAAATTAACATATCTGTCTTCTCACATATCTATCTTTTCTTTGTTGTGACAGAATCTGAAATCTATTCTCTTAGCAAACTTCCAATATGCAATACAGTACTATTAACTATAGTCATCATGTTGTATGTTAGATCTCAGACTTACTTGTCCTATGTAAATGTAACTTTGTATCCTTTCACTCACATCTCCATGTTTCCCTCATTTTCCTGTTTCTGGTATCCACTGCTCTGTACTCTGCTTCTATGAGTTTGATTACTTTAGTAATCTCATATAACTGGGATCATTCTGCATTTGTTCTTTGGTATTTCACTTTGCATAATGTCCTCCAGGTACATTCATTCATGTTGTGGCAACTGGCAAGATTCCTTCTCTTTCAAAGATTATTTTTATCCCTATGGGAGAAAATTGCATGTTATTCTATTATGCTGTATACATTTTGCTTTTTGGTTTTCTTCTTTGATAATTTTTCAAGATGCAGAATTTTAAGATGACATTGCTTTTTCTCAAAATTGTTAAAAGAATTTTCATTTACTTTTTAAATTTCTAGTTTTGTAGTTAATTTGATACCAGTCTTCTCTTTCCCTTCCAGAAGAAACTAGAATATATAAATCAGAATTGAAAAATCTCCAAAATATAATATGAAATTAAAAAGTCAAATTTCAGAATGATTTATACAGTAGAGCACTTATAATAATTGAAATTAATTCATAGGTTATATATAGTATCTGTAAATCTCCAATTTATGGATGTATATCCTGCAGCCTAAGAATTGAAGTGTCATAACCATGGTCAATGCAGCTAGAATAAATAAAGATATGAGGATCAGAAAATAGTGTATTTATTTATTATAAATGAATCTTTTATTGTATTTATTTATATGTGGTGCTGACGATCGAACCCAGGGCCTCACACATGCCAGACAAGTTAAATAAAATTTAACTACCACTGAGCCACACACAACTCCAGTCCCGACAGGGTAATTCTCAATCATTACTATTTCTTCTGTACTTAAAAGCAGAGATGTAATATACATTTCTGAATGTATACCTGAATATACAGTTTTCAAAATAAATCCCTACATAATATATATGCATAAATTATTGGGATTTGTAGTCTTCTAATGGACAGGATTCAATTCTATAAGATACATACCTTTTTTGAAAAAATAGACTTCTGTTTTTATAAAAATTTCAATCTTACAAAAAGATAGTACAGAAGAAATTTCCTTAAACTAGAGAAATCTGGAAGTAGGCAGTTGTTACTATTTCTGGGTATGAAATACTTCTAGAGGTTATTGTGGATGATGAGCTGAAGACAACTGTGAATGGTACTGTGATGGTAGTACATGTATGCTTTACGGTGTGAGAAGGATTCCACAGGCATTAATTCCTTTTTTGCTCTCAGATTTATTTCTCTGCCTCGAATATTCTTCTGGTAAGGTCATTTGTTTGTAAACTTTCCATTATACTTTTGTTCCTAGGGGAAATATATACCCTAATTTTCAGTAAAAAGTTTTTGAACTGTGGATGACCTAGTTTTATTTCTATATTATGTTAATTTTAGCCTGAGTTGGACTAAATTAATGAGTACATATGGAAAATTTCAATTATAAGCTATTTATATTGAGAGAAAAATTAGCTTTTATTCAATATAGTAAGTTTTTTTTCCCCCTGAATGAGATCAGAGTATACTTTGTTGTACTATCTTAGTCGGATTATTATTTTGCACTCACAACCCTTTTCTTGTTTTACAGGCTGTGACTGTGAGGAACTCCATGGCTAAGTCTTTGTATAGTGCTTTGTTTGACTGGATAGTTTTTCGAATTAATCATGCACTTCTGAATAGTAAAGATTTGGAGCGAAATACCAAGGTAAAAATATATTGGGTTATGTTTTCCCTAGAAAACTGTCTTAATAAACTGGTTAATACATGAAATTTTAAAGCACAGAATTATGTAGAGTAATATAGTATTGTTTTTGTTTAATTTTTTAATTTGTTTTAATTAGTATACATGACAGTAGAATGCATTTATGCACTTTGATATATCATACATAGATAGGATATAATGTACATGTTCTGAGTGTACATGTTACAGAATTATATTAGTCATGTAGTCATATATATATACATACAGTAATAATGTCTGTTTCATTCTACTATCTTCTCTATCCCCACCTCCCCTCTTGCTCTCCTCCAGTCACTTCCCTCTACCTAATTTAAGGTAATGGATTCTTCTCTAGGGTCCCCCCCTGCCTTGTTGTGAATTAGCATCTGAATGTTAGAGAAAACATTTGGCCTTTGGATTTGTGGGATTGACTCATTCATGTTAGAGTATAGTATTGTTTTTACTTCTGCTATTTATTACCCTTTTCAGAGGAACTGTTCTGTGTGTCTTTCCAGATCTTTTTTCCCTGTGTATTTACATATCGAAAACATATACATACAGAATTGTTTTTTAAAAGATAAATAGAACCATTCTATCTATTTTTGCAAACTATTTTTTAACATAAAGTCTCTTTATGTACATTGCATGTCATTATATGTCTGGACCTCATTATTTTCAGTAATTTTGAAATATATGGTATGATGTGTAAAATAAATCTCATTAAAATAAGTAATTTTTGTTATAAATAATACCATAACAAATAATATTTTACTTAACTCTATGTACCTTCTCTAGGATTCATTCCTCTGTGTCAAATTGCTGTATTTAAGGATATATGTATTTTAAAGATTTAGCAGCTACTGCTAAATCGCTTTTCAAAAAGAATTGTATACTTCTACCAGCAGTATATCAAAGTGCCTGTTACCCTACACTTTTATCCATATTGGGTATTATCAATATTTACATAATCTGATTATGAAGAGAGGAATTTCCCACTTTTTTTCATTGTTTCCAGTAATGAAAGTTGAGTGCCTTCCTGTCCTGGAGATGTGGCTCAGAGGAATAATGCCTGCCTTGCATGCATCTGGTCCTCTTCAGTGCCCAGCACTGGGGGCGGAAAGTTGAATGTCTCATTTTGTTTTCTCTAGTTTATTTTCTGTATTTTTTTTTTTATATCTTTGTGCTATTCTCATGTTTATTTTTTTTCTTTTTGTTACTCCTTTTTAGGAGCTATTTATTGTGGACATTATGGAGACTCAACTTGATATATACTGCAAATATATCTTCTCTTTTTTAGTTACCTAACTTTTTTCCCCCCAGAATTTAATTTTTATTTTATTTTTTTACTTTTTTATGTGGTGCTGAGGATCAAACCCACGGCCTCACCTGTGCTGGGCAAGTGCTCTATCACTGAGCCACAACCCCAGCCCAATTACTTGACTTTTAAGGTTTGTTATGTTGTGTATTTTTATGCCTGTGTTTTAAATTTTTGCACAGTTAATCCTGTCATTATTTTCCTTTCTAGTCCTGGGTTTTATGTATTTATTTTACTTATATAGGAAGGCCTCTTCTAGTCCAAGATTTAAAAATATTTAGCATTATACTTTTAGAATTTCAGTTTTTATGTTTAGACTTCTTTTCCAGTTGGAACTTGTTTTTAATGTGGCAGATTAGTGGTAGTTAACTTCAATCAGTTCTGATTCACTTTTCTCAAAAACCTTTATGAAATAGTCTGCTTTTTCAAACTGATTAGAAATGTCAGGTTTAATTTAATCTTACTGTTTTAAAGGTAAATTTGCTCTTAAATTTTCATGGTTTAAGTAAGCCCAAAGCCATAAAATTAATTTGAATTGCAATCTGATTTATCAAATTGACTTCATTTTGAAGGGCATTATTTTAATATTTCTTAAGGACCTAGACTTAATCAATAGAATTAAAATACTCCTAGTACAGACTTCTGAAATATATTATAATTTATCATTCACTATATTAGTTTGTCTGGTACATCTCCCAATTGCAGTGGAGAAAACTTATTTTCAGTTAACCAAATTGTCATAACAAGCGTTTCAAGAATGCGATAGAGTGGTGAGATCGATGTTTATATACAGGGATTAGAGCTGAATCTGTGTCAATCACAGTAAGAAGTTATATAGAATAAGTTCTAGGAGTCAGGTGTGGAAAAAAGTTATGTATGATTTCTAGAATTGAAAAAGTAAAATATTCAAAAAAATGAAAGAATAATCTCTGTGTACTCTACCAAGATTGGAATGTTGACTCTAGGGAGCAGACATTGAGAATGAGGAAAGGATTGCTGTTTTATTATAGTCTTTTTTGAGCTAGTCAACATTTTAAACTTTGTATTTTTTGTTAAAGTAATACTTAATTTTAACTTTATGAAATTATATGCTTTTATATCTTGTTTCATTCTTAATCTGGATAAGGCTGATTAATAAACTTTGTTACTTTAGTTTTTATAGTAGACCTCCATTTATTGGGAAATAGAAGTTAAAATAGGAAAAATTACATGGTTTTCTTGGCATTGCCAAGATTACCTGGTTTCTGCTGATCCTTCACTTTAGTAATCTTGATTTCTTTTTTTTTTTTTTTTTTTTGTAGCTGCTGTTTCCATTCTCTTTTGGAACTCAGGGTTTTCCAAGTTTAAGAACTTCTTTTCTTTTATTTTTTTCAATTATGATTATTTTTTGCTAGCTGTGTGCTTTGTACATTCTTTTTTTTTTTTTTTTTTTAAGGTTCTAGGAATTGAACCTAGGTCCTCTTTCATGCTAGGCATGTCCTCTACCACTGAGCTCCATCTCTGGCCTGTGCTTTATGTATTTCTTTATGTGATGCCAAAATTACATGTGTTAATTTTTGTTTTGTTGTATCAGGGATTGAACCCAGAGCACTTAACCACTGAGCCACATCCTCAGCCCTTTTTAAAATATTTTTCTTTATTTAGATATAGGGTTTTGTTAAGTTACTTTAGAGCCTCGCTGTGTTGCTGAGGCTGGCTTTGAACTTGCTATCCTCCTGCTTCAGCCTCCTGAGTTGCTGGGATTACAGGTCTGTGTCATTACACCCAGCTACATGTGTTAAAACTTTGATCTATTTTTATTGTTATGATAAAATGTGTTAAGAATGGATTACACTCATTAAAAATATAGATATATTTTTATGATTAGGACAAAAATAAAATAAAGAGAATTAAAATACTTCTTAATTGTGGTATATTTTGCTTCAATATTGTGAAAAACAATCCCCTCTCTACTGCTTTATAAATGAGCATTTTGTTATTAATATTGTATTTTACTTAAATACTTAAGTAAATTTGAGCCTTTTTAAACCAGAATTTTCTCTTGTTTTACAGACTTTGTCCATTGGTGTTCTTGATATATTTGGGTTTGAAGATTATGAAAATAATAGTTTTGAACAGTTCTGTATTAATTTTGCTAATGAACGTTTACAGCACTACTTTAATCAGCATATCTTTAAGTTAGAACAAGTGAGTATCCAAATATGTATATCTCACCTCATATGAATTTTAAGTCATAGACACGATAAGCATTTCAAATTTTGTATTTCAGTACAAACATTGTGGGGTTCATAGCATTATAAGCAAATGACAAAAATCAAAGTGTTTTTTTTGTTGTTGTTGTTGTTGTTGTTGTTTTTTAAAAAACATAGTCACCAAACAGATTTTCTAGTATGAGCTTGCTTGAGTGCATCTTTATAGGGAAAGATGGTGGGTTTGTTTAGGGTTTTTGTTGGTAGAGTTGATTTTGTTCCTATGGCTGTGGTCACTGTGTGTAATGCTAAGTATGCTCCTTGGATGCTTTTGGTCCAAGGACCGTATAGAGAAATCAAGATGGGCAACTAGATACTTGTCATGATAAACTCAAGATTGTTAGTTTAAAATAGTGAGTTTTCAGTTTCCATGAGAATTGTTAACTGTAAAGGCGCAGGGTAAAAAAAAAAAAAATGTGGGCTTTTCTTCCAACTAAATATGAAAGCAATAACAGGTTGAGATTATAACTCAGGATTTCATTTTGTGTAGGAGGATGTAAACAGGAGTAAGGTGTATCATACTCAATTTTAAGGAAAATGCTAAAGAATGGAAAATGAATAAAAAGACAACAGTTAGTAGGTCTACAAAACTAGGGAAAAGAAGAGTTTGTTCTGTTATCCAGCCTTATCATTGAGACTTGTTGCCTTCTTAGCTTTGTATTCTATTTTGCTTAAAGGGTATAATGGCTTTTTAATAGCGGCACAAGGAGTATTAATTTTGGCCATCTTGATGAATGCTTAATGTTTTAATTAAATGTAACCTTTTAGCTAGACACTGTACTGGAACTGTTAAAAGATAATTAAATATAATTAAACTTCTAGCTAACTCTTAGGTAATGTTACTTATTAGGCAGTCATTGTTTTTATTCCAGTTTATATATGATGCATAAAACCAGTTTTCAGTATTCTATAATTCTTATATTTTTTATTTCTTCATTCGTTTTTGTGGTTCTGGGGATTGAACTCAGGGCTTGCACATGCTAGGCAAGTACTCTACTGAGCTACACCCTAGTCCTATATCCCTTGCTTTTTTATTAAAAGCTGAGCTGGGATTACTGTCCTGGTCTGTTGATTCAGTTCTGTGCTCTTTTGACTAGATCAGGATAAATTAATATCTTTTATGTCTTGCAAATAGATATATGTGCTGGAGGAGTAGGAGAATGTGTTTTTTTTTTCCCCCGGTGGGCACAACATCTTTATTTTATTTTTATGTGATGCTGAGGATCGAGCCCAGCAACCCACCTGTGCCAGGCTAGCACGCTGCTGCTTGAGCCAYATCCCCAGCCTGGGGAATGTATTTTGTTGACTATATTCTGTCTCTTCTAGAGGAAAGCATTATTTGCTCTGTAGATCATTAAACAGAAGACTAGTTAAAATGCTTTTGTAAAAGAAAGGTATTCTCTTATTGTAAATTGAAGTTAATCTGTAACTGTTCTAGACATCTAGAATAAATATAGAAGAGCCATAAGAAATGCCTAGGCCATTAACATTGTATACAAATAAGAACATTTTATAGAAAATTCATTCAAAACTACCTGGGAATGGGTGGTCCTCATTTACTTGATACCTTGAGTGTCATAATTTTTGACAGAATACCTAAACTCTATGTTATTCTATTTTTGTTCTCAAGAATTCTCTATTTTATTAGCTAGTGGATATGTTTTGATATAGTCTGTGGAGCATTGAAAGACCTTACACATCTTTGCCATTCTTTGTTATTTTCTTTCACTACTTCTTCATGTTTTTGTACTTAAGATGGATTTTCTGGGAATAAGAGATTCAAGGCTGGGCTGGGGATGTGGCTCAAGCGGTAGTGCACTTGCCTGGCAAGTGTGGGGCGCTGGGTTTGATCCTCAGCACCACATAAAGATGTTGTGTCCGCCGAAAACTAAAAAATAAATATTTAAAAATATTCTCTCTCTCTCTCTCTCTCTCTCTCTCTCTCTCAAAAAAAAAAAGATTCAAGGCAGTTTAAATATTAAGTGTCTTATAATGGGTATCATTTGTACCTATTATGAGATGGTTACCTAGTGACTGTTTGTTAAATTCAATTGAATACCCGAATCAGTTAGTATCAAAGATGTTTTTGTAGAAAAAAAAAATTCTTCAGTATGAGAATTGTGGTTTAGTTCTAAATTTTGTCCAAAAGGAATATATAGGCATGTAGGATAGGAAAACGATAGATTCATTTCCATGTAGGATGACACATTCTATAATCAGGCATAAAGTAAAATAATATATTGATTCATCTACATTGAAATCCAGAGGTGGTTCTGGAATATGATTTTGAATAGTGAGTTGGAGCTCACAAGATTGTCAATGGGGCAAAGGTATACGTAAAGTATATTTAAAAGTGGGACCTTATGTTATCACGCAGAGAAGATTAGAATTTTTTCTTTCAGAGAGGGAGGAGCTATTTGAAGTATATTTGGTATGGTACTTGCATTTTAACTGTGGAAGATGGACTGAAGAGAGTGAACTGGAGGTAAGGAAACAATCTGCACAAGCCAGGTGAATTAGTCTTGTTCAGTGATTTTTGCATCCTGAATTAAGATAGTGGTAGAGATTATGTGCAAGGTTTCTGAGATATGAAAATGTTTCCTGTTATCATTTCTGATATTATTCTCTTCTTGCTCAGAATTATCCTTCACATCATTGGTATTCATCAATAATAGTCATGTGCCAATCTTTGTGCTAAACATTAGAGATAGAAAATGTTGAGTTCAGGGATCTTATTTAAGTAGTTTTTAATCCAGCAAGTTTTTTTTTTTTTTAAGGGGAAAGGTTTTTTTTTTTGCAGGTTGGCCAGGGTGGGGCATACTGGGGATTGAACTCGGGGGGCATTTGACCACTGAGCTGCATCCCCAGCCCTGTTTTGTATTTTATGTAGAGACAGCGTCTCACTGAATTGCTTAGTGCCTCGCTGTTGCTGAGGCTGGCTTTGAACCCACAATCCTCCTGTCTCAGCCTCCTGAGCCCCTGGGATTACAGGTGTGCACCACCGTGCCTGGTTTGAGCTTTTCTTTTTTTTTTTTTTTCTTTTCTTCTTCTTTTTTTTTTTTTTAAATTTGTAAACCTTTTGTTTTGTTCATTCTACATTTGGTGTTGTCAGACTAGAAAATTCTGACTAATTTTGTGGAATAACACCTCTAAAACTGAACATTGGATTGTTTTCAAATGAATGAAAGAAGGAAATCTAGGCAGGTGAGCTCAGATGATTCTTTGTTCTAGTAGAGTGTTGGTGATTCTAAATGAATCTAGGCTTGATGGTCTGAAGAATTGAGCAGACTTTTCTACTGAGGAAGTCCATAGATATTTCTATAGACAGGTTGAGACTCCCCAAAAGAGTACCCATTAGTAATAAAAGATAAGCTAGGAATAGATAGGCATCATGGGGATTGATGTTCGGTTTAAGTCATCTCAGTTCCTGATTTGGTGTAACTAGTGTAGAATTTCTAGTGTTCTTAGTCATATGTGCCAAGAGCAAATTCGCTTTCTACTGGAGGAAGAGATCATCCAAATGCTAAAATTACCACTGTTGAAAAGAAAGGAAGAGAGAACTAAGTAGAAAAAAGACAAGGGGGTAAACCAACATAATTAAAAAACAAGAGCAGTGAGATAGTAGTACAATAGGGGATCTAGATAAAGATGTCATCAGACAGGGCTTTATGGTTTCAAATATTTTTTAAAAGAGTAATACTTTTATTAAAAACTAGTCCAGAAAATACCTAAAATCTACTACTGTGAAATTAAGAATATAAGATTGTTTTTAATAAGTAGATTCAGGTTAAGAGAAAATTAGTGATCTGGAAGGTAGAACACACGTGTGTGCATGTGCACATGCACCTTCCTCACCGTTACTGCCCAAAGCACACATTTGAGGAACTCTAAAAATCCAAAAACAGTCTGAAAGCATAGAGAGGAAACAAAATAGTATCTTTAAAGATGCAGCAGTAAGAATGGCAGTCAGCTTTCAGAGGAAATAGTGGAAGTTAGGATATAGTGGGATATTTTCCTTAAAACTGAATCATGTTATTTAGGCATTATTAACATATCCCCAGTTAGAGTTTGGAGGTATAGGAAGGAATGAAGAGCAGTGAAAAATATTTTTAAAAGTTGGTGAATCTAAGTGAATATTCAGCTAACTAAATTGGAGAAAGGTAAATGCTATAATATTTAAGTAGAACTAAAATGCCTGAGAAGARTAGCATATAAATTAGGGGAGTAAATGGAATTTTAGATATTCTAAGATTTTTTTACTGCTAAGTTACAGAATATTTTATTTCTGTTAAGACATTGATAAAATAATGAACATAGGCATATCACAAAAGGAGATATTTAAACAGGCAGTTAACATGGAAATGTTTTTCTCTTATTATTTGTTTTAGTCAGCTTTTTTTTGCTGCTGTGACCAAAAGACCTGAGAAGAACAATTTTATATTTTATGGTACTAGAGATTTAACCCAGGGCCTTATACATGTTAGGCAAGAGCACTATTACTGAGCTACATTCCCAGCTCTTTGATAAGAACAATTTTAGAGGAGGAAAAGTTTATTTGGGTCTTACAGTTTTAGAGGTCCCAGTGCATAGATAGTTGCCTCCATTCCTTGGGCCTGAGGTGAGATAGAACATCATGGCTGGAAGAGTGTGGCAGAGGAAAGCAGCTCAGAACATGGCCACTTGGAAGTAGAGAGAGAGAGAGTTCCCTTCACTACAGACAAAATAGTTCCCTTCTCCCACCTCCTCCAGCCATACCCTTCCTGCCTACTGTTACCACCCAGTTAATCCTTATTGGGATTAATGCATTGAATGAGGCTCTCATAAGCCTATCATTTTACCTCTAAACTTTATTGCATTGTTTCACACAGTAGCTTTTGGGGGGACACATCACACCTAAACCATAACATTATTCATCACAGCAGTTGAAATTAAAATCACAATCAGATACCTAAGGCATTCACCAGCATGATTAAAATGAAAAAGACTGGTTAATACAAGTATTGAAGAAATGTGTTGGTAGGGAAGCTACCATATGMTGGTTTTGTGAATTGGCACAGCCACTTTAGAAAACTGTTTGGCAATATTTGCTGAGTTAAATATGTGTAATTTATAATCTCAAAATATATACAGATAATGTATAATTTAGAAGAACCAAAAAAATGAAATTAAACATAAATACACATATATGCGTGTGTGCGCACACACACATAAAAGTTTTGGGTAGAAATGGTTGTAATGGCCTTATTTTTTAAAAAATATTTTTTAGTTATACATGGACACAATATTTTTATTTTGTTTATTCATTTTTATGTGGTGCTGAGGATTGAACCCAGTGCCTCACATGTGTGAGGCAAGTGCTCTGTCACTGAGCCACAACCCCAGCCCATGGCCTTATTTTTCTGTTTTTTTTTTTTTTTTTTTTKGTGTGTGTGTGTGGGGGGGGGGGGGGGGGGGGGGGGGGGGGGGGGTGTTGGGGATTGAACCCAGAGCCTTGTGCCATGCAAGGCATGCACTCTACCAACTGAGCTATATCCCCAATCCCATGGCCTTATTTTTAATGGCCAAAAATTAGAAGTAAAAGTAACATCTGCCAAAAGAGAATCAATGAATAAGTTGTTATATGTAAATACAGTGGAATACTCTATAGAATTAGTTCTCAAACTCAAAATGTTGTTTCTCCTCTTCTCCTTTTAGCATCAACATATCCAGGGAACTTGTAAGAAATAAAACCCTAAGTGTATTCCTATACCTATTTAATTCAGAAATTCTTGGGATGAGGCCCAATTGACTTGTGTTTTAACAAGCCTTCCATATGATACTGCTATACTTTAAAGTTTGAGGAGTAACATTCTGTGTCAGTTTGGCATACAATTTCTGAAAAGGATGAGATTAAATAGGTCCTTTAGGTTTTTTTGAACAACATGGTTTCAACTTTGCAGTTACATTGAGAAAATACACAACATATAGACAGTACATAAATGAGTGATTATGTTTTTTATGACCTCTTTCCTATAGCAATTAAAATGAATGAACTTTGAGTGGCTTCTAACAAAATGTATGTCTCTGAAACCTAAATTGAGCCAAAAAGTCAGACAAAAATAATTATCTATTGTGTAAGTTTATTTAGATAATATCTGTAAACAAATAAATCTTACCAAATATATTAGAAGCTGGCATTGGGTAAGAGACTCTGAATGTTCATTTGGAAGGGGACTAAGGACTACTATAATGTGTAAAAATCCTAATGCCCTTGTTTAACTGGTATGCTTGCTAATACTACAAAAAGGTAGAATGGCAGGGTGGTAAGTGGTGCTTTCTTACCACTTGGGGGTGACCTTTTAATAAAAATTCTACTCTTGTGAACATTTTAAGAGAGAATAATTAGTACTTACTTTCCTAATTAGGGTAATTAAGGTGAAAGTTTCATAGGGACAAATAAAAAAGTATTTCCCAGTAAAAAGAGTAAGGAAAAATGGGTGCTTTGTACAAGGGTTTTACTGTAGCTGCTCAAGACCTGAGTTTTGGGGTTTTTGACCTTGAAATTTGAGGCCTTTTTGTTGAAGTAAAAATGTACAAAAGATTTTCTTTTGCCAAAATTCAGTATATGAATTCCACATGATTTGTGAATGACTTCCCACTTACCTGAGGAATTCTATTTTATTAAATTAATTGTTGATGATCCAACAAATGCAGTCCTTTTGGTAGTTTAGAATCATGTAGGGGAAATTAGGCTTCTTACTTGTATATTTTCCTTAATGGAGTAATCATTTGGTGTGACTAAACACCAGGCCTAAGTCTTGCTTAGAGAAGTTTCAGAAATAGGATTCTAACCTCAAAATTTGGTTGCATGTACTTAAAAAAAAAATGTTTTCTATTACTGAGCTGCCTCTGTAGTTCTTTTTGAGACAGGATCTCACCAAGTTGCTGCAGCTGGCCTCAAATTTTCAGTCTTCCTGCTTTAGTCTCTTGAGTAGCTGGGTTTATAGAAGTGTGCCACTGGATGGGCTTTCTTACTTTGCTCAATGTGAAGAAACAGAGACACTGTATTAAGATTAGTAAGCTGATTAATAAGCATCTTTCCATTATATGGATTGTGATTTAAAAAGAAAAAACAGACTGTACTTTTCAGTTCTTGTTATTATATGCCTATCATTTTCTGTAAGATGAATAAATTATTATTTTGTTGTTTGATTTTCCTAGGAGGAATATAGAACTGAAGGTATCAGTTGGCATAATATTGATTATATTGATAATACTTGTTGCATAAATCTTATTAGCAAAAAACCAACAGGACTGCTCCATCTTTTGGATGAAGAAAGCAAGTAAGTATGGTTCTTTTCAATATTGTTATTGGCCATTGGGCTTTTTATGCCTTCTTAAGTTTAAACTTTCTCCTTATATTTCCAAGTAAAGGGCTAAAGGTTCTGTTGTATGCAGTTATTAAATATTTGCATTTCTTGATAAATAGGCTGAATTTCACTACTGAATTTATTTTTTCTTTTTTTGCAGTTTATTTTGACAGAGTTTGATGTTAGATTTGTTGACGTATTTTATTTTTTTTGTTGTGTGTTCTGTTCTTTTTGAATTTTTATTTCTGAGATGTATTTGCAGTTTTCATGTTTAGTAAAAAAGGATATCATGATATATTCATGATGCCTGTMATGACTGTGTTGGTGGCAAATGGCAATATATGCAAAATATTTTCTAGTCTATACTGTTCAGTATAGCAGTCTTAAATATAAACCTCTGAAAGCTTCATATGCTGTAGCATCCTCCAGAGTAATGTCTGATATTTAAAAAGATGATTTATAGTTAAATTAGCCTACAAAATGGTGTTAGTTTTTTGTTGCTGTGACCAATTCCTGACAAGAACAACTTAGAGGAGGAAAACTTGCTCTCAGTTTTAGAGGTTCAGCCCATTTTGGGCTGACTCTATTCCTGTGGACCTGAGGTGAGGTGGAACATCATGAAGGAAGGACATGGCAGAGGAAAACTGCCCAGTGCATGGCAGCCAGGAAGCAGAGAGAGAGGGTACTTGAGGAGCCAGAGACAAAATAAAATCTCCAAGGGCACACCCTCAGTAACTTTCTTCTTCTAGCTTCGCTCCACCTGTCTGTGATTATCACCAAGTAATCCATTCAGATTATTAATTCATTAAGTGATTAATCCACTGATGAATCACAACTTTTATGATCTAATCATCTCACCTCTGAACATACCTGCATTGTCAAATGAGCTTTTCAGTGGATACCTCATATCAAACTCCTCATATTCATCATAACAGATGGCAAACCTAGAATTGGAGAAACTGAAATGAGGAGATTGTGTAGATTTTTAAACAACTCTTCAGTAACAAATTTAGAAATTGAATTAACTTACCTGATTCCTAATTTAATATTATACCCATTAAACTATGATAGAAAATACTGAAAATTTATTGTCATAGGTTGAAAGACTAGACTATACATCAGGTTTTCATGGGATCATGGGGCAATTAAAAGTTTATACTTGTTGTCTAGTTAATAAAAGTGAGTCCTTTTTTCTCAGAAATATCCTATTTTTGTAAAAGTCATGTCACTCTATTACTATGCCATAAACACACAGAATTGCTACATGAAAATAGTAAGATTATAGAATGAAAAATATAATGGAAAGAAATTGCTAAGAGTTTATGTCTAGTATCCACCCTAACCCACTGTACCACTAATATGTTCTGTTATTCTAAATGAATTAAAGTGTAGTCAACAAAAATAAAAATATTTTAATTTAATAATTTAATTTTCTATGCAGAGTATTCTTGGTATTGCTCTCTATTCCCAGAAATGATTATTATCTCTTATAAAATTGTAAGGTCAGTAATTCCTAATTGTGGTTGCATAGTTTACCTCTAGTATTTATTGGAGAAATCTTTCAAATCATAGTTAATTTTAATATTTAGTATTCAGAACTAATAATTTTGGTAGTTGATAATGAAATGATAAGCAGTTCTTTTTGTCTGAGATATTTAGAGCAACAAGTATGTTTTAAGCACTTTCAGTGAAAGATCATATGATTTGTAAGTCAGATTTCAAGATTCAAACCCTCCAGCTATTTCTGATTAATAAGGTTGTACTTTGAAGTATTAAATAAGATTACTTTCCCCAAATAGTACAATTTTAGAGCCTATCTATATCCTATCTCTATTACCTACTCTCTACAAATCTCCTGTTTTTTTTTTTTTTTTCCCCCTTTTGGTGCTGGGGATTGAACACAGAGATGATTTACCACTGAGCTATATCCTCAGCTCTTTGTATTTTTTATTTTGAGACAGGGTCTCACTAAGTTCCTTAGGGCCTAAGTTGCTGAGGCTGTCCTCTAACTTGTAATCCTCCTGCCTCAGCCTCCAGAGTCACATGCACCACCATGCCTGGTCTTCAGTTTTCTTGCGTGCAAAAAGGAAATGCTGCTGCTATCTACTCTGTCACATTTGTCAACAGCAATTGATGTAATGACTGTATAATTAAAACATGAATAGAACAAGGGGCTCATTACCTCGCCATTCTTTAAGCAACATTTCATTAAATGCACATCTTACTATAAAAAGATTGTATATTTCTGGCCAATTTCTATCTAACATTGTTGTATTTTTTGTTTGCTTTTTGTGATACTGGGAATAGAACCTAGGGGCACTTGACCACTGAGCTACATCTGCAGCCCTTTTTGTTTTTGAGACAGAGTGGCCCAGTCTGGCCTCAAATTCACAATCCTACTGCCTCAGTCTCCCAAGTAGCTGAGTTTATAGGTGTGCATCACCATGCCTAGATCATAGATTTAAGTTTTGATCAATAAAGGGAATGTCACCTCTTTGTTGTCACTCAAGCCACATAAATTGAAATGACAAATTTAGCCCAATAAAAGGAAACAAATTTTCTGATTATTAGAGCTGATGAGTATCTTCTTCAAGAAGTAAAAAATTCTTCATTAGAAATAATAATTCTGGATTATCTTTGAGGATATTGTTGTAGGTAGGAGACTGGACTAAATATCCTTTTAATCATCTCTTCAATTATGTTTGTATTCAGACCGCTATGAAAAATTTTAAAAACATTATTTTAATTTTTTTACTTTGTAAATGAGCCAGTCCAGTACCTTTTTTTTTTTTTTTAAATAAATGGTTCATTTTTGTCTCACTGGGTAGGAAAAAATTGTCCGCTGCTCTGATAGGGTCCTTGACTGGGCCTGAGAAACTGACATAAGACAGATAAACAGAGGGAAAGCATTTACATTTTATTAGAATTTTATATGTACATGAAAATAGAGACCTGAAGAAGTAATCAGAACAAAGAGCTTATCTATTTTTTAGACAAAAATGAAAAATTTTTCCAGAAATTTCAAGACAAAGGGTTTGGGGTAGGAGCTATAAATTGTGTGAAGGTAACAGAGACTGGGAATAACTAGTAGAAGATAAGGGTTATTTTGTTAGTTTGTACAGTTCTGTCTTAATGTCTATTTTTAGTCTTTGGTAATTAGGATGTTCTTTTTCTGGAACAGGGAGAGCACCCTTCTCATGGAAAATTTTATGGCTTATTTTTATGTAGGAAAAAGGCAGTTAGGAGCCTATCCCTATGTCTTGTATTTCTGATTTGCCTTCAGTTCAAATAATCATTAGGTCAGAACAGCATATTTTGGGGTGGCATGTCCTGAAATCCTTTCATCTTTTATGCTTTAATATCCCAGAAGATAAGATGAAAAGGCATGAAGTATTTTTCCTCTGCCTTTTACCTGTAAAGAGATGTTGAAAATAAATTTAGTCACATTTAAGAAGAGCTTTTTTGGGACTCATTTGGATTTTTTTTCTAAAAAATATTTTGTGGGAATATATATATCTATGGGAAATATATAATTTGGAAATTATCCTTAGTGATATTCCGACTTCATGCATTTTGTTTATGATGCTCTGCTTGTAGGAGTCACACAAAATCTAGGTTAATCTTGTGTGTGCTGTGATGTTGAGCACATTATTTAAGTTAGGTTCTGTAGAAGGCATTTAGGAGGAAGAAATAGTGCAAGCAAAGTCTCAGAGTTAATGTATGATGAATAGGATGTTAGCAATGTTACTAGTCTTTCCTGTAGAACTCAAAAGGCGTTGCTGACAGCAGCGGTAGAGAACCTTGAAACTCGTTAGAAATATGAAATCTCAGGCTTTCAGCCCATACCTGTTGAATAAGAATCTGCATTTTAACAGAGTCTGAAGTTAAGATTAGAACATTTATTTAGGGCAGCATTTTGTCAATCCTGTCTACTAATAAGAATTATCTTCTGAATTTATGAATGCTTTCTAGGTCACCATTCTTGATCAGTTAATTCAGAATCAGTAAGTAGAGTCCATGCATTGCTGGTTCTGAAAGCTCTAGAAGTAGTTCTCAGGCTACCCTTGTTTATAGMCTTTGGGGAACATGAGATAAGAGCTTTAAAATGAGCAATAATGTCTGATTTGCCCTCTTGATATATACCTCAAATGTTTGTTGAATGTAGGACCTTTGGAGAGCTTTTCTTTCCATCTTTCTTGATTTGGAATAAAGACTGTTCTCCTATCTATCCCCCTTCCTTTTTTCACTTTTACTTAAAGAAAAACATAAGCTTTTAAAGTACTTGGAGTATTAGAAGGCAAATAAATCCTGAAGAATGCTTTTCTTAATATACCCCTCTTAACTCTAAATGGAGTTAGAGACAATGAGGTAAGCTGAGTATGCTGCTAGAAGAGAGAAGCATTCTGTTATGAAGTAGTGAAACATTTGCAGAGGTTAGGTTTGTCTAGTTTTAGTTGTTTGGAATCATTCAGTTTCTTTGCTTTTGATCCATAAATTTTCTGACTAGGAAAGTCACATGATTAGGGTGACTTGAAACAAGGTAAGATCACAATTGAAAAGAATATTATAGAGGCTGTTTCTGGTCTGTGCTTGAAATCCTAAGGATTATAATGCATTCTAGAATTGTTTTAGAATTTTAGAGCAAGCTTATAATGGAGATGTTTTTAGGAAGCCATAGTATAAGCCCAAATAACTGAGAAGGGAGCAGACCTCAAACAGATCAGCAAACTGTCTTTATTAAGCATTGGCGGAATGGCACATGGCATATTTTCAAGGGAGAAAATGGGCACTGGTTATAAGAGGGGTCTGCTTTTTATAGGTCTTAATGAGAGTTAATCATTGCAGAATGTTTAGTGTGACTTAATCATTAAAGACTTGGGCAGTCAGAAACTAATTGTTCAGATAAAAAATGTAACTCAGGAAAACAGTTGTAAAAACTCAAAACTCATTCTAACTCAGGGAAACAGTTGTAAATGCTTGAAACTGGGATAAAAATTTAGAGCCCAGAGCCCATTTGTTTTCCGTCCCCTCCAGGACTCAGTGTTACTGGGAAAGGATGAAAGCCCAGAGCTTGGTGCTCATTGCTTATCTTCTTACTCCAGAATCCATTGTTTCCTAGAGCTTCAGTATTTGCTTTTCTCCTTCCAGGACTCATCAACAATGGGAAAGGGTGAAAATCCATGGCTTAGTGTGTTTATCTCTTTCCTCAGGACCCATTATTACTGGGAAAGGATGAATGTTTGCCTTATTCCTCCCTCCTTCCTCCCAGGCCACACTGTCCTCTTTTCTTCCTGGGGGCTGTCTTGGGTGATGTTATTTTTCATCATTCCAGACTCTGAAAGGGGATAATAAATTCCTTCATTCCAGACTCTGAAAAGGGATAATAAATTGGGATGTTGATATCAAGTCTGGCTGCCTTCTGCTGAGAAGAGACAAATTAGGGAGATCCCCTCCTTTTAGAGTTCTAGAAGAGGACATGGAGACCCTGGTGGTTTAGAGTTAAGAGGGGTATAGTAAGAAAAGCATTCTTCAGGTCTAACACTGAGAAGTGGGTGGTGGTGGAGGATGGGATAGGAGATAAAAAGGTATAGGGATTGAGTACTACAGGATATGTGGGGACAACTGCCTCTTTGAATTTCCTGAAGTCCTGTACTAGCCAAAATTGGCCATTGGGTTTCTTTACTCCGAGGATGGGGGAATTGTGTGGCAAGCCAGCCAGGAGGTGATATTTAGCTTTAAGATACTTTTCTTTCTCCTTTTTGGCCTCGTCTTCTCTATTGTTAAAAACCTTGAAAGCAACATCTACAGGGCTACTGCTGAGGAGTCTCTGAGTTCTCCTGTAAATTTTTTATGGATATCAGGTGCAGACCCACTTATAAACTGGACATGGAGAAAGAGAGTACCAGCAGGAGTATCAAGATCTGGGGTGGTATATTTGGTAATAGCTTCAGTAAGTTGAGCCAAAAAGAGGGCAGGGTTTTTTTCAGGTCCCGGGTGATTTCCCTTATCTTGTCATGATTAASCTGGGTATTAGAATTTTTTGTCATGCCTTCAAGGAAGCAAGTAATCATGTGTTGGAGTCTAGTGACCCCGGTGTCTTGGGGTTGGTATGTCCAATTAGATTTAGCTATCGGGATGGCAGCATCTCCTGCAGGATGGGTAAGGAGGCTTTGGACATGGAGGAGGTTGGCATGTTCTTTAGCCTCCTGCAAAATATGCGCACTTTCATTAGGAAGCTAGGATATAGTACACATCTGCCCAAATAAGATGGTAAGTCTGAGTCAGACGTGTGAACCTTTTCCTATACTTAATAGGACTGTCAGAAAATGAGCCTCATCTGTCTTCTTTTGGAACAAATCTATTGTAGAAAAGGGGATGTGAACTTGGACTGTCCTGTAAAAACAGGCCCAGGTGACTTGGCAGTGTTGGCAACATAAAAAAGCTGATAATATTTATGTAATCCCTATAAAATGCCAGATAGTGTCAGATTTTTTTTACTAGTACTATTTGATTCTACTAACAGTATTATACCTGTTATTATACTCACTTTATGGGTCACAAGATCATTTCTGGTATTTAAACTTAAAGTTCTGAAAGGCTACCTATCTTTCCCAAGATCACTGATAGAACTGGTAATTTATTTATTATTTATTTATTTATTTATTTATTTATTTATTTTTTTAATTGTTGGTCATTCAAAACATTACATAGTTCTTAATACATCATATTTCACAGTTTGATTCAAGTGGGTTATGAACTCCCAGTTTTACCCCGTATACAGATTGCTGTATCACATCAGTTACCCTTCCATTGATTGACATATTGCCTTTCTCTTGTCTGATGTATTCTGCTGTCTGTCCTATTCTCTACTATCCCCCCTCCCCTCCCCTCCCCTCCCCTCCCCTCCCTTCCCCTTTTCTCTCTCTACCCCTTCTACTGTAAATCATTTCTTCCATTTTAGAACTGGTAATTTAAACTAAGATTATCTGACACCAAAGGTGATGATATTTTCTGATTTGAGTACACAGTATATAATTAAACATTTTGTAGTAATTTAAGAATAATTTTTACACATTAGATTTGGGATTTATCTTTACAACCTCATGGCACATTATTGCTCATTATTTCAGTTTCTTTTATACTATTTCTGAAAGATATATTTTCTCCTTTTCCTGTCAGTGATATTTCCTCTATTTGAAACTCCTACTTAATCGTTTACACCTAACTTTTAATAGCTAGCCTCCTAATAACCTTTCTGTTGTTCCCCATCACTGCTTATTTTTCTTCTTCTAAATGTTTATGTTCCTATGTTTCTATTATGCAATTCTTTTTTTTTAAGTTGTAAATGGATCTTTTATTTATTTAATTTATTTATATGTGTGCTGAGGATCGAACCCAGGGCCTCACACATGCCAGGCAAGTGCTCTACCATTGAGCCACAACTCCAGCCCCTATTATGCAATTCTTAATAGATATTATTTGTGTGATTTTTGACCTTGAAATGCTCATTGAATCCAACCAATGAATACAAACCTATTGATGTATATTTAAAATAGTAATAGATTTAATAAGAAATGTAATAAACAGGTATAGATAAGAAAATTGTGACCATCTATGTGTCAATAAATAGGAAAACAAAAGAATGTGAATTTTAATGACCTATTTAAGAATAAGAAATTATTTCCTTTTGGTGGGGTTTATTTTCCTTTGGGTTTTGCAATAATGCAACACAGTGAAACCTAAATAAATATGTAATGACCTGAATTAATTTCTCAGGTTAATTGCAGACTCTGAGTATGGGCAAGCCATAACTTTTTATCCCTCATCTATAATATAGGAACAGCAATCCATATTATACTCTCTTCTAGCTTATTATGAGAATCAGATTTGATAGTATAGGCAAAAACTCTTTGTAAGGTGCTAAATGTATTAGATAGCAATGAATTTGTTTTTTAATAGGCAATACTGATTACTGCATCTTCTATTTTTTTGTGTTTTCTTTTTCCTCATAAATTCAGTTTTCCACAGGCAACAAATCAGACATTGCTAGACAAGTTTAAGCATCAACATGAAGAGAATTCTTACATTGAATTTCCAGCTGTGATGGAGCCTGCTTTCACCATAAAACACTATGCTGGAAAAGTAAAATATGGAGTAAAGGTCAGTTGATTTTTCAATGAATGTGCTTTAAGGGCAGAGGTGTGTTCTTGACTTTGTCACTTTTCCTGGCACACTACCCCCTGTAGTTTTTGGAGGCTTACAATTAGTAACATTTGGAGACATTTTATTAGGATAATGTTAGATTCTACTAATATAGATAATATTAGAAAATAACATATTTATGCTTTTCAGTACATTACTTTCTCAGGTTTCTGTTGGTTTCCTTYTGTATGTAATCTGATGTCAGTCCATTCTAATAAACAATAAACTTTAAAAATTCTAATTAGTTACACATAATAGTAAAATGCATTTTGACACATTATACATAAAGGGAGTATAACTTCTCATTCTTCTGGTTGTACATGATATGGAATTATACTGGTCATGTAATCATATATGCACATAGCGTAGTAATGTCTGATTCACTCTATTATCCTTCTACCCCCATATGCCCTCCCCTCCCTTTATTCCCCCGTCTAACCCAAAGTACCTCTATTCTTCTCTAGCAACCCTCCCCCAATGAATTAGCATCCACATATAAGAGAAAACATTTGGCCTTTGGTTCTTTGGGATTGGCTTATTTTGCTTAGCATGCTATTCTCTAGCTCCATCCATTTACCGGCAAATCCCATGATTTTATTCTTTAAGGCTGAGTAATAGTCCATTGCATATGTATACCACATTTTCTTTATCCATTCATCTGTTGAAGGGTACCTAGGTTGATTCCATAGTTTAGCTAAACAATAAACTTTTTGATCTGAAAGAATAGATAACTGTATATCTCAATCCCATATGTTCATCCACATGTCCACATACTTTACTGAATTTTCCCCCTCTTTATACACATAGGGCTGACAGAGGCCTTATGTCTTCATGTACTATTAGGTATTTGTGAGCTTGTACTCTTAATGAACTGTATTGAAACTCCTACCTCCTGAAAGGGGAAACTTCATGATTTCATCCATTTCTGATGAACCTGTTATTCAACCATTTGAAATTTAAGCCTGTGTCTTAAGACACTTGGTTTCCATGCAAGACAGTGGTGATATGAATTTATAGTGGAGCAATACAATTTTTTTCTTTGATCTCAGGGTATTTTTAATTTACTCCTCAAGTGTACTGATCTATTTATTTAAGAGGTGTTTATTGAACATAGATCATGCATCAGACCCTGTGCCTAGTGTTTGGAATGATTTAGTGATTAACTAGACAGAAATGTTCCTGACTCTGTGTATACATACATATGATTGGGCTATATGCTATAAATAAATGAATGGGTTCTGTGAGAAAAAGTAGTAAAGTAGTGGTATGGAGCCATGACCACCTCTCTAAGAAACTTTTTAATTTTTGAGAGATGACCTGAAGTAAATTTACCTTGATGAGGAGTTGTGATGAAGAAGTACAGGCCATGGAATAAGGAAGAGTTTGATATGTTGAAATATGCTGCTAGAATGAAAGGAACAAAAAGAAATAGTGTTGTGAAATGAATTCAGAGTAAGACAGCAGGTTAATTCTTAAGGGCTTCTAGGGCAAGTTAAAGGAGTTTGATTTTTATTGAGTTTGGTTTTTATTGTAGGGAGCTATGAAAAGATTTTAAGCAGAAGATCTGATTTGTGTTGTTAAAAGATTGCTGTGCAGGGCTGGGGTTRTAGCTCAGTTGTAGAGTGCTTTCCTAGCATGCACAAAGGTTCAATTCACAGCACTGCCAGAAAAGAAGAAGAAGAAGAAAAAAAAGACTGTTTTGATTATTTTGAGGAAGAGGCATAATAAGGGGCAAGAGTAGAATCTGGGAGATAAATTAGGTAGCTTTCCCCCTTTCTTTCTTTTTTTTTAATTGGGATGAAATGTTAAGATAAACCCCAGGGATGCTCGGTACAGTGGAGCACACCTGTAATCCCAATGATTCAGGAGGTTGAGGCAGGAGAATTGCAAGTTTAATGCCATTCTCAGTAACTTAGTGAGACCCAGCCTCAAAAAAATAAAAAGGACTTTGGATATGGCTCAGTGGTAACACAGCTATGGGTTCGATCCCTAGCACCCCCACACCCCAGTCCACCACCAGAAAACCAAACAACCAAATCACCGAAATGGCAACAGAGTTGGGGAAGAAGATACCATCCATATACATTATTTATTTCTAGATGATAAGTGATAACTGGTTAGAGCTGATGGGTTAATTGGAGGTATTATATCCTGAGGTGGAACAGAAAGAAAGGAATAATTTTGATAGTTTAAAAAGTAAAATAAAAAGTCAGGAGCAATGGCGCACACCTGTAATCCCAGCAGCTTGGGAGACTGAGGCAGGAAGATCATGGGTTCAAAGCCAGCTTCAATAAAAGTGAGATGCTAAGCAACTCAGTGAGACCCTGTCTCTACATAAAATATAAAATAGGGTTGGGAATGTGGCTCAGTGGTCAACTACCCCTGAGTTCAATCACTGGTTAACCACTCTGCAGTCCCCCCCAAAAAAGAAAACCCAGTTTTACTTTTTTAATAATATATACTTTTGCTCTAAGTATATTTAGGGACAAGCCAACGGTCAAGATCCTGGCTTGTTTACCCATTTCCCTTGTTTTTAGAAGAATAAAGAATTAGGAAATCGTAAGACACATTCAGAGAAAGACTGGTAAGGAGTAGTTACTAGTATTCTACCATGATTCATCTCTTATTTATTAATTATTTTGCCTTTAGTCCACAAGATTCATAATGATTTTTATTTTGCTTTGTTTCTTAACATATTCTGGCATCATGTTTGAGGTCTGATGAGTTCAGTAAACTTTATATGATTAAATGTTTAATGAAGTCCAGGCAGATTTTTCTGTATGACAATAAATGACATTATACTAAGTGTGTTCCTTGTAGAGTTTTTACTTAGAGCTATTTTGTGAAGCTCATCATATTTTTAAAATCCTTTTTTAGTGTGAATATAGTTGTAAGATTGTTGTCAGTGCCTAGACTATTTGTATCCTTCTGGGCCCTTGTTTCCTTGGTGTAAGCTTCTTGATCTCCCTGTATTTGTGTGGAACATTTTAATCCATTTTCTTGTATTCTCTCTTAAAACCTCTGCGCTCTGGCAGGTTGTTTCTTTTGCCTGTTTATAGACCATAGCTAATCTTATTCTTTAAAATGCTGATAATATCCAGTTATATTTTATGAAATCCCCCTAGGACTAAGACTCATAGCTATCTGCCTACATAGTGTCTGTATACTGACACAGCATAGTGGTTGTGATTGGTTGTGTTTGACTTCCACTCTTCCACTTAACTGTGACAGGGGCCAGAGTACTTCTCCTCTCTAACTCAGTTTTCTCATTTATAAAGTAGGGATAATAATATTGGTCTCAAATGGATTTTTAGGATTGAGACAATGTATAGAAAGTGTGTAGAAGAGTGCCAGTCACACGGTCACCTCTCAGTAAACGTTATCTACTAATATTTATCCTTACCATCTCAAACTTCACTTGGACAAATTTTTTTCTGTTGATCGTCTTTTGAACGTTCTTTCTCTAGTCTTATGTATCTCAGTATATGGCATCTCCATCCACCTAGCTCCTCAAACCCCAAATAGAAGTATTAACTTAATTTCCTCATTCTCTTACTATCAGCAGATTCTTTGCTTTTACCTCTTAATGTATCTCAAACATGGTAATTCTTTTTCATTTCTTCTTTGACAACCTGCTTGTCCAAGTCACTGTCAGCTCTTCTCTGTTTATTATTATGTCTGTTCTCCCCTTTTCCATTCTTTGTGCTATTCATTTCCTATGTATCAATAAATGTTTACAGAACACCACTTGGCTGTTGTCATTGACCTTTATGCTTGAATAAAATAAAGTTAAAACCCTTAATTCAAGCTCAAAGAGCCTAAGTCCTGTTGATTTGCCTAAATTTTTATCACTCTCACCTTTTTACTGCTTTTCTTCTAATTTGTCCAGCGCATCACCACAGAAAGTAGAGATCAATCCTGAAAGTATAATATTCTATATAAAGTAAATTAGAATGAACATTTCACTCAGAAGTTATTTCTATCTTTATTCAATCACTGTTCAAACATATTACTCACTATCATATTAATTTTAATAGCTTTTTCACTATTAACGGTGAGACTTTTTTCACACAGGATTTTCGGGAAAAAAATACAGATCATATGCGCCCAGACATTGTAGCTCTTCTGAGAAGTAGCAAGAATGCATTTATCTCTGGGATGATTGGAATTGATCCTGTGGCTGTATTCCGATGGGCAGTTCTCCGAGCCTTTTTCAGAGCCATAGTTGCTTTCAGGGAAGCTGGGAAAAGACACATTCAGAGAAAGACTGGTAAGAAGTAGTTACTCGTATTCTACCATGATTCATCCCTTATTTATTAATTATTTTGCCTTTAGTTCACAAGATTCATAATGATTTTTAATTTGCTTTGTTTCTTAACATATTCTGGCATCATGTTTGAGGTCTGATGAGTTCAGTAAACTTTATACAATTAAATGTTTATGTGTTATGTATAGGTATGCGTTGGTACTTTTTTATTACTAAATCTTGACAGGAATACTGAGTATAATAATGGTACTTGGGCACTTAGTAAGTCATGGTATGATTTTTGAACAGAAAGTGAAGAAATAATGGTAATAGTATTTATTTAGAATTTAATTTTGATGCTTTTCTCTGTTTTTTTCTTATGTATAGTTCTTACTACAAATGAAACCTAATTTAATATGAAAAGTATAAATTAGGAGAAAGAAAGAATCCTGGGGGATCCTGGCGGTAATATAGTACGGTGGAAAGAACCCCCTATACACTGTCATGTCTTGATTGATTTTGTGACTTAATTGTCTTTCTTTCCTATAAAAGGGAGTTAAATACTACCTTTAGAATTATGAGGTTAAAGCCAGATAAACTATGAAAAGAATCTGTTTATGAAGTATTCATTTTCTTTTTCTCTTACCCTTAACTCAGTTCATTGGATTTTCACTTTGAAATTCAGAAATGATATTTATTTTCTCTGTGTTTCCTCCTTAAATCACAAAATATCCCATTTCACATACTGTGGGAGAGCAACTTCATAGCCCTGTTGGCATATTTGTAATCACAGTGTTGCTTATTGTAGCACTAGTCTTAGAATATTGCTGTACAGTGAGGATTTTCTGTTTTCTATGCAGATGAGACATTTGTTTTAGAAGCATGAGAATACTCCCATGTGTTTCCCTAGTTTCAGACTGACTTATATGGCTTTTTGAGATGTGTACTAGCAATAAAACTTTCACTCAGCTTTTAAACATTTGAAATAAATAATACTTGGGAGATAATGTGCTTAAAATGAGAGGCAAAATTTCTTTTTTGAGACTGTAACATGCTTGAATTGCAAAAATAAAAGAACTACCTCAAACCGCTTTGCCGTTTCTAAAAGGTTGTATTTAAAAAAACAAACAACAACAATAACAAACTTAAAAGAACTTTTTTTCCTTGAAGATGATTTCTTTCTTGTTATGATAGCTTTGTAATGAAGCTACTCAGATTTGTTAAGTATCCTGTTGAGATGTTATTGACTAAGAAGAAACTTTGTTTTTACTACTAATTATGTCACTTCACACAGATCTATTATTTATGTAAGTTAGTTGTTTTATATCCATTAGTATCAATTTGGGAAATGATTTGCGATATTACTGTTTTTATTTGTGGTACCTAGCTTTGACCATAGGGATACTCTACATCCCCAGTCTTTTTTTCTTTTTCTTTTTTTGTGACAGGTTGATCTCAAACTTTACTCCTCTTGCCTCAGCCTCCCAAGTAGCTGAGCTTACAGCCCTGTGCCACTACACCTGACTGATATGTAGTGTTACTAATATAAAAAGATAAATCACTCAGGAATCTGAGGCAGGAGTATTGCAAGTTCAAGATCAGCCTCAGCAATTTAGTGAGATCCCTCAGAACCTAACTACACCCTATCTCAAAATAAAAAGGATTGGGAATATAATTCAGTAGTAAGTAAAGTGCCTATAGGTTCAATCCCCAACACCAACAAACAAAGACAACTTACAATTTCTCTATCTTGATAGAATTTAGATTCTTGTTTAATAAAGGGTATTACAGAGCTTCCATATAATAATCTTATTGAAAACTCTTTTATTCTAGAATATAACACACATAAAGAAAAGTACATAAAACAAACATATATAGCTCAGTGAAAGAGCACAAAAAATAATCACCCCTGAAATTACCACCTAGATCAATAAATGAACCTACATAACACCCAGATTTTTCTCTTGGATAAATTATGAAATTTCATGTTGTATAAAAGAAAAAGAAGGACTCTGATTAATTTGCATTCTGAGGCCTAATGAGATTGAATCCAGAAAGTGATTTTTTTTTTTTAATGTTACAATATATTGGTGTCATTGCCATTGCCAGCATTCACCATAGCATTTTGCTTCCTCTAACTTGCCTCCCACTTAACTATCTTTTGGTAAGTTTGAAATAAAAGGACATCATACAGTTAGAATATTATAGCATTGGAAACTAACAGATTAACTGTTAAAATTATTTAAGCCATAGTTTCAGAACTTTTATAATATCTATAAATAGTATGCACACATATTAAGATGAAATGGGAGAATTAGAGATTATTTAAGTAGAAGTAAAATAAGGGAGGCAGAAGGTAACCAAGTTCAGATCTTTTGCAAATAAGATGTCAAAGATGATAATTCCATTATAGCTGGGTGTGGTGGTACATGCCTGTAGTCCCAGCCCCTTGGGAGGCTGAGGCAGGAGGATGGAGAGCTCAAAGCAGTCTTAGCAAAAGTGAGGTGCTAAGCAACTCAGTGAGACCCTGTCTTTAAATAAGAAATAGGGATGGGGATGTGGCTCATCAGTTAAGTGCCTGTGAGTTACTTCAATTCTAGTACCACCCCCTTCAAAAATGATAATTCTAATAAAGATGATGTAGTATATTTTTACTTCCTCTCAGTATCTTTAAAGTATGTTATATGTGTACATGAATATGCCACAATGAAACCTAACCATTCTTTTTTTTTAAAGACTTTAAAAWTTTTTTTTAGTTGTACATAGGCACAGTACCTTTATTTAACTTATTTATGTGGTGCTGAGGATTGAACCCAATACCCCATGCATGCGAGGCCAGCACTCTACCATTGAGCCCCAACCCCAGCCTGAAACCTACCATTATTTAAAATTAATATGCACTAATTAAAAATAACTCTGAGCTAATTGTAAAGAAGCATCCTAACAGTGAACAACAATAACAAACCTCTCCCTAATTTTCTGAAGTAATTCCCTCCTTTTCTCTTTATTAAGCTGACTGAGCCACAGCCGAGAATACCAGATTAAAGATTACTTTTGTTATTTTTTCTTTTGTCCAGAATTCCAAATTAAAGGAAACAATGCCATTTTAAGGTCTATAAATAAAATTATTTCAATTACCCTATTTGAGAAAAATATAATTGTAGAATATTCATAATAGTGATCAGCCTGTTTGAAACCAGAAAATACTCTTAAATGAGTCACATTAAGTAGGCAGTTTCAGTAACTGCATGTTGTTTTGCTACAAGGTAGAATGAGAAATAGTAATGATTTGTTTGGTTAGCAGTGAATGAAGAACAGACATTCAAGTTCTGTCATTTAACTTGCCTCTGATTWCCTCCTCCTGAATAGGTTAGAACCTGGAGTAGAGAATACTATTTAAGGATCATGAAGAATAGAGCACAATGATGCTTTATTTGGTTCTGTTGGACTTATATAGAAGCATAGACAAATAGGCATTTTAGAGAGTCTAAAAAGTGTAGGCTAAGGTATTGAGGTCTGAACAAGAGTGTTCAAAGTACTATCCAGTTTTCTTCATTAACAAAGAGAGAAGCTGTAGCTTTTCATATAGTGTCTGCAGGTAGAGAGTTTTAAGATTTCCATATGATCTCTACTGCTTCCTATTCAATGAACTGTATAATTCTAATCAGCTTCCTTTTGCTTTTGCAAGTGGGAGAACAATTCTAGTGACGGTCTATTTTCAAAGATGACCAGGTGGTAAAACTTATTTGGTTAGTTTAACAATCCTTTTGCTTTTTTTTTAAAAAGCAAAAACCCAATCATTAGTTATAAATTATTTGTATATTAGAGAAGGTTAAGAATAAGAGTTTTAGATTATGTATTAGTGAAATAGGTAAAAGTTTTCAAAAATAATCTTTTCCATAAAAGCAGTAAGAACACTAATGAAAAGTTTCAGAGTAACTTTGTTAGAGTTGTAGAAATTAAAGGCTACAGTAATCTAGAAAGTGTTTGTGCAACTATAAATAAAGACTGCACTTTGTGGTGTTTTCATGTGCATGATTCACAGGCCTTCCTCCCCAGCTCCATGGTAACCCTGAAAACCAGCACCCTGGAATCAAGATAAGTTTAGCAGAGTGGCAACCACTGGAGGAAGTAGAAGGGTTTGGAATTCCTTCATAGTCTCATTTCTAGAGAATTCTTCAACCTTTTGGGTTGTTTCTTGGAATATTTTACTTAAAAATCTGAATTTATTCAACTTGATTTGGAGTTTGCCCACTGTGAACCACAGCCTTTAGCCCAAAAGCACTGTGGGAAACAATCAAAATCAGGGATGGGGGTGTACCACTTGCCTAGCATGTGTGAGGTACTGGGTTTGATCCTCAGCACCACATAAAAATAAGTAAATAAAATAAAGGTATCATGTCTGTATACAACTTAAATTTTAAAAACGGCCTAAAAAATTCAGAAGAAAAATAATCAAAATCAATTGTTGGACATTGCAGCTGCCTATGACAGTAGATAACTATTGGGGTGAACAGTGGCCTAACCAAACAGCTTAAAAGGAAAAGCAGATAAATGAGATGTCCATAATGGCTTTGAAAAGTTCTGATATATTCCATAAAATTTAGTTGGTTATGTGCTTTATAGGGCTATATACATGCCAGGGCTCTAAGCATGCTCAGGAAAAACCAGGAAGTTCTTGATCTGTTACCTTGAGTCTCTGTGCAAATAGAAAATGAAGGCAAGGCAGAGTCGTAAACTGCTTACCTGAGTGTTGAAGGTATGCCTCAATACATATACATTGATCCTTGACAAAGGCCACTGTTCACCCCAATAGTTATTGACTTAATGGTTTGAGGTATGTAAGAGTATCTCTGGTTAGTCATTGGCTGACCATTAAGCTCAGTGAGTGGAAACTTCTGTGGTCACATGTGAAACATCTTAAGGGGGAGAAAAAAAATAGAAACAATATCAACAGCAAACACTGGGGATAAAGGAAAATTTGATTCCTAGAGTTGCTCCATTATACAATTTAATACATCCAG